CCCCCAGTTAGTCTCGTTTGGATGCCAACAGTTTGGAGTTGTATCTGTAAGGGTTTGTCTTTCTGCATGCTTCTGTTTTCAGTAGATGTGCACACTTTTGCAACCGACTCCACGGCTCTCACGCGGGCCCTGCAGGCCAAGCGGAGCCCAAGGTGAGAGATTGAAAGGGAAAAAAAAAAGGAGATGCTTATTTTTATATACAAATGTATGAATTTAGTGTTTTTTGTTTTGATTTGTGTGTTCTCCTGTTTTGTAAGGAATATTTATGTACAGATTCATAATTAAAGCTAGCAGCCCTGTTTTCCAGGGTTCTTTGAAGTTTTCTAAAAAACAGAAAAATGAATTGAATGCTGATGGAAATTGATATTTAAATTGGTTTTAAACATACAATAACATCAAGGCCTTACCTGTGTTCTTTTTTTAAAGAATTCTTGCCAAGAAGCACAAAAGAAAGTTTGACACTTTTTGAAATTGGTCAACAGGACACTAAAGTACAGAACACTGTTCCTGTGACGCATCGTGAACCATGTTACTCTGTGCAGTTCTCTCTCTCAGTAACTTAACTGCAGCGACGTCATTTCTTTAAATGGAGCTCCAGCTGTACCTCATTGTGTATACCATGCGTCACTCTTTAATCATCTTACAGTAAAGGCGTACTTCTCTAATGCACAATCCAGAACACTATGCTAATCACACAATCACCAGGCTCTGAGGAACCAGTAAGACATTACAACCCCACCGGCAGCAAGAAGCAGAGGACTTCTTGCACGTGTCAAACCTTTATTTCTGTACACATAAATTCTTCTGCGTTAAAACAAAGAGCAGCTGGAGAGTTCCCTGTTCATTGGCTGAGGACGGACTGCAGCCTCTACAGACTCCTGTAGTGACGGATTAAATCTCTTCATCAATGTTATTACTTCACAGATTGGGGTGCCTCTTGTTTGAATATCTGTAATATTGTACTGTACAACAACTGTCTGTCAATAGCTGCAGATGTCTGGTTCATTGAACTGGTTACGGTCCTGCAGCCCGAGGGGGCAGTGACTCTGGGTGGGCCCTCGCTCAGCTCTCCATCCACACTTGCGTCTGTCTTGGCTTTTTATGAAGCGGTGTTGACGTTTCTCTTGTCTGTTTTGCCTTAGAGCTTTCTATTTTGGAATAAACGATGCCTAACTCTCTGCTGTGCACCGTCTCTCTGTGAGGCTCCGACTCTGCTGTGATGGTTTATCGCTGTGGTTTTCTCTTTTTGTCAAATGTGGAAACATCCAAGTCCTGAGCAGTGACTCGGTGCTTCAGTTGTCTGTGCTCAGCGTTGGAGAACCGCGAGCCTCTTCTCTCTGAAAGACAACGCAGAGATCAACAGTCACGTAGACGTGGTGCCTTGTATGCGGTGAGCCAGTGTGCACACTATGGGGGGGCCGGTGTCACAAACGGACGTGGATGAATCCGGCTCGAGTACTCCGACTTCAGACACACGTGTGACGTCATCGTTGCACAAAGCACTCTCGCTCTGGAGTGTTTTAAACGGGACTCATTTACAACTAAGACAGTTTTCAAACATAAATCCTGGCTGAGTAATCATGTCGCTTCAGTTTAGCTCTGTTCACTTCAGCAGAACATTCTACTGTAACAATCCAACACTTCAGTAGAGCTACATGTGACTGTTCAGAGCGGAGCAGGTTAGGACCGCTGCTGTGGACCATTGATGTTGCTGGTCAGCATGTTGGACTGGTCCCATGGACACATGGGTCTTAGTTCAGCATGGTTTAGGCTTTATGTCAAATATTCAAAATCAATATTAAATCAGGCAGAACGCTGCAGACCAGTCTGAAGTATGTAATTGTGAAACCAGCCCTAGGACCCTGAGACTGAAGCCACTAAACATAATTCAGACATTCATTTTGTTATCTACACCTGACACGTCAACATGTGACACGTCAGCACTGGAGAACACTGGAACTACGCTGCAGTGTGTCATAATGACAAGGCTCTTACAAATCTATAGTGTTCCTCAGTATCCCAACATGCTGAGCATGTGGTGTGTCTGGTTCAGTCTTATGTTTTGTTGGTCCTGAAACAGGACCCAGCTGGTCGTGCACTGACCTCCATCTGTTGGCGGATCCAGCTGAGCGACCGTGTAATGCGCGTGTAGACGCCCGGCTTGTTCCTCATAGCACAGCCACTTCCCCAGCTGGTCGCACCAACCAGCTTCCAGACAGACGAGTCCTCACAGGCCAGAGGACCTCCACTGTCCCCCTGAGGGGACACAGACACAGTCCCCATCTTACTCACCAATGTCTCACAGCTTCATAAAGCGAGAGAGTACATCATCATACTTCCTGTTGTCATAATGGAACATTTGTGTGAACTTTTGGGAGTATTTTAAAATCAGTCATTTTATTTCTATGAAGTTTTATTATAGTTTATATGTGTAGTTTACTTTATGGTGACATTTAGTTTCCTACTAGTTGCTCTGAGAGGAAGAGAGAAGTGTAAAGCTGTAGATGAGTTGCTTCTAACACCGGCTACAATACAGACGCTGTTGATTAAATTAACTGATCTTCAGTGTGAGGCAGACGCTGCAGCTCAGCTCAACATATTATGGAAATGTTTTTCTGTATGGTTATAGATTATATGTAACCATACAATTCAGCAAATATTGAGTCAAAGTCATTGGGCCCAAATATATTTGTTCGCTTCATGTTTGTGTTTTTTATTTTATTCTTTAAAGCTGTATACATCACAAGCATGTTGCCGTCTTACTCATTTTACAGCAGTACTTAAAGTCTTATTACACTGCAGTACAATATACGAGCACTAATACTGAGGACATCGAGGAGCTGTCTGTCTGCTGAGCAGGTGAGTCTCTTACAGCTGCTGAATGAAGATAACACGATGAGGGAAGCTGTATAGCTGGACAGATAAACAGCTTTCACATTAACACATTCATTTCTCACTTCTGACACGATGTCTACTTTACCAAATGCAAATGATTCCCATCATTCACCTATAAAGTTATTCAAAAGATAAAGTCATTGTCAGCTCTTTTGTTTGGTGCCAAGACAAGAATTCTCATAAAGAGACCCGAACCCATCAGCTACCAAAGGGATTGGGATCTTGCAGATCAAGTATCGAGTGCCAATAACACTCCTTCAGTTTAGCTTGACAAATAAAGATGAGCTCTTTATAGAAATACTCCTGTGGCTGTTGCAGGACTAATTAATCCGTCCGATAATTGAATAATATAATATTCTTGGATAGTTAGGCCAGTAAACCCATAATCAGATAGTAAACTAGAGACCTGGTTCTGTTCTTCCAGATAAGAGACATCAAGAGAAACACTTTCACTGTTCTCTGGTTTGAATGTTTCCAGTTTAGAGAAGCAGGTCTGTGGGGGACACAGCAGCCAGCGCCTCTTCTCTGCTCTGAAACCTTCACAGTGAAGGGATCAATGCTTCAAGAAGACCATCTGTACCTGACAGGAGTCAGTTCCTCCCTCCAGGTGTCCTGCACAGATCATCCAGGAGGATATGGAGCCGTGGTAAACCTCTGGCTGGTTGCAGGTCTTAGTGGAGAGGAGTGGCACCACGGCCGAGCGCAAAACCACACTGGTCTCTCCTGAAAACAGCATGTCAGAGAGGGCACGATCACAGATGGTATTACATTACACCCAATTGAGAATGTAGTTGTACGCAGCTGAAATAATAGACTAGAAATCATCTGTTTGCCATGTTCACACTCACCTTCATCCTTCGTTGCTCCCCATCCAGAGATCCAGCACATGGTGCCCTCCTCAAAGTCCTCCCCATAGTTAGGCAGGCAGATGGGCTCCACTAAGCCTACAGAAGAGAATTTCAATAACCCATTTGCCGGACACACTGTACACAACAATGTGTGTGCTCTGTTTCCACCATAACCAACATCAAGCAGTCATGCTGTGTCATTACATCCAGATCCAGTTTTCAGGTGGTGTCTGCTGTAGTTTGGACTGAAATGACACAGCGGTCACACAAACAGATAAACAGTGAAGAAGTGAAAGAGGTGAGGACTGACGGCTGAGACATGAGACCGATACACATCATTTATACTTTATACTTTAATTTGTACTTTATCAAAACTGTCCCAAACTTGATATGCTTGATGTCATGGCTTTAGGACTTCTGCATGCCAATAGTAACTCATAGTCATAGCGCCACCTACTGATAAGCACGGACGTAAGCAGGATTCTATATTTACAGCGCCCCAAACACTGACCTTATTGAAAGGGTTTGTGGGCACACCATGAGAAAAAGACTTCTCTGATCTAAATATGTGCAAACTAAGATGCTTGGAGAGCAAACGTTAGATAACAGTGGATTTTCAAACCATGTCAGTGGGCATTAGCATAAATTATCTGTCCAGAGCTTCTACATGAGAATCAGGTTAAACGTTACAATGAATGCTTCACACTACAATCTAAAGTTACAGAAGAACTTAAAATGAAAACAGTGTTAAATTAAAGTGTTCAAGTAACAGCAAATGGCACTACTGTTTTGTTAACTTTCATGTAAGTCCAAATACAATCAGCAGGACACTGCAGGGAGTTGAACCCCATCCCAGTAAACTGATAGTCTGTTATGTCACAAACACTGAAGCACATTCACACACATTCATTTTCTTAATGATCTTTAAAGGCTTACATTTATGATTGTATCGGATGTACACTCAAAACATTTGAGGCTTAAGACCTGGCAACATGATCTTGCTACGCTGCTGGTCTAACCAGGAAATATCTCACTCGTGCACGCAGAGTGTGATGGCGACAGAAATTCATGGCCGCGTCACCCAGAATCCTGCCAGTACCAGGAAATACCGTTTAACTCGTGCACGCAGTGTATGATGGTCACAGAAATGCATGGCCAGAGTCCTGCTAGTACCCTCGACGTGCGTGAAGTTGCGAGGGCCCGATCAATGCTGCTCGCAGCTTTAATTTAATATTTTGTTCTTTTATTATTCTATTATTCTACTATTCTTAGTGCTACTACTGCTATCACTACTCATTATATGTATCATTTATATCATATGGATTGAATGATGTTGTAATTTAGTTATGTTGTTCATTTCTGTCCTGACATCTGTCCTCATGACATCTGTCGCACTTCTGGCGATCCTGTGGGATGGATCGCAGGTTCCTGCTCTCTCTGAGATTTCTTCCTTTTTTTCCCCAGTGGGTTTTTTGAGGGGAATTTTTCCTTTTCCGATGTGAGAGTCCAAGCAAAAAGGATGTTGTATACTGTACAGATTGTAAAGCTCTCTGAGGCAAATTAGCGATTTGCGACATTGGGCTATACAAATCAAATGTAATGGAATTGAACCTTTGAGCAGAGCAGTTTCACTGGAAAAGGGTGAACTGGTAATGGTAAATGGACTGTACTTGTCTACTCTTTTTGACCACTCAAAGTGCTTTCACACTACATGTCATCATTCACCCATTCACACACTGATGCCAGGGGCTAGGTGCCCCCTGCCATCAGACTAACTCATTCACACACCGTAGGCACAGCTACGGGAGCAATTTTGGGTTTAAGTGTCTTGCTCAAGGACACACGGACATGCAACTAGCGGAGCCGGGGATCGAACCACCGATCCTCTGATTGAAGGACTGAATCCTCCTGCCCTCCACTTAGCCACAGTCGCCCACTTTGGGCTAAAGGGCACCTCAGATCCTTTCAGTCTTGGGACTAAACTGAATCTTTTGGTCTCTTCTGAGTGTGTTGAAATTGCTGAGATGCATTTTAGTGCATGGACAAAGAGCAGGATGTTATTGAGAAAGAGGGCGAGTATTCAGCAAGGTCTTGAAAGAGAACACCAATACCGTTGAAAGCCAGTGACATGGCCAGTTTCATCAGTGCAATGTCGTAGTCCAGTCCTTTGGGCCTGTAGCGAGTGTGGTATATAATCTGCTCCACAGCCAGAGACTGGGCCCCGTGCACCGGTTGCTCCGTCAGCCCCGCGTGGACCACCCACATAGAGGGGTCTGCAAACCTGATGACAGACAGTGGAAGATAAAGGGAAACACAATACTCATGGCAGTATATGAGAGAGACAGAGGTAAATAAAATGTGGTTTTCATTCATGGCTCTTCTCCTAAATACCAGCCAATCCCAACTTTAAACACAAGTCACATGTTCAGTAAACAAATAGCTTGTTTATTGGACAGAGTTTGGGAGTCACCCTGCCAGGTTAAAGGAGTTAGTGGGGCCTAATCTGATTTAAGTTCTTACAACTTTGTTATGTCTGTGCTCTCTGCTTTGTAGCAGCCGCATGTAGTGCAGCACACTTCCATGTTATAAGAGGATATCATTGCCTCCTAAATGATGCTAAAGGTTCCTTGCTAAGAGTTTCCTCTTTAGACCTCTTCACAAAGCTGCTGAGACACTTTTACTGAGGAACTGAGAAAACTCGTCAGGACTAGTGTCTACAGGCGAGCGCGAGCACTACTCCTTCAAGACCTGTTTGAGAGGAGAACTTTGGCGGAGAAACTGCAGGTGAAGCAGTACATGAAGCTTCTGTACTAGCTGAACACCTGACAGGTTTGGCTAGCTGGATGACGTCATGCTAATAACTTAGTTAGCTTTTTAAAACAACGGGGACAGATCCAGCACGGACTGTTAGGGAGTGAGGGATGAGGAGGTAAGGAAACATGAGAACACCAGGGT